GAGGCACCCTCGAGCCTGGTTGGTGCTCTGCTCCAATCATTCCCCCTACCAGTCGCCTCCACTAGGGCTGTCGAAATTCGTCCATCACCGCAAGTGTCCGCGGTAGGACGGCAATCATCTCTCTCAAGGTGCTTGAAACCGTTTGTGTTGCTGACGAAAAGGCCCGTGGGACAGGCGCATTCCAATATGAGAGCATTGCCCCAGGGCTCCACCGAGCTAGACAGGAGTACACTCTCAATCGGGAAGCTAACCTCGACGCAATCACATTAGTAATTTGGCGGGTCATCTCAACAATCATTCGCTTGTTGCAGCCTCAGCTGTGTCAACTGGTGGGCCTAAAAAGGGGCTGAGATGCTATCACAAACCAGAGGGATCATCACATTCTTCCCCCTGAGCATCCAGCATCCCAACGAGTCGAAATACATGTGTTGTTCAATCGATACAACTCCCCAGGGAGCTTCCCACAGTTTCAAACAGCGCACGAGAGACTGTCGGACGAGGCCGTTATTCGGCTCATTTCAAGGGAACAATTTTGCGTTATCAAGTATCGCACAGTTTTCGCCACTCATTTCGTTTGAGACCTTGGAGACCTTGAGACAAGACACACGCAATACCGACCAACCCGTGTCTGGTGGCCTTTCTGCCAAGAACAGCTTGGTCCACCTGAGAAAAGGCCTCAAAGGTCGTGTACTTAAGTAAACGGTATTGTGAGTGAGGGGGCCCGAGCAGGTGGTCATCGGATAGACAGGATTTCTCTCACAACCTTTGTAAATCTCGCCTTCCACTCCTTTTGACCAATCGCATATCTCTTTGCAACTGATTCTCAAAATGTTTGGGCAGATCGGGAGTTTGACAAAGGTGGCCGCCGCAATCGAAATGACGACCTGGATTCCGGGCATAGATCGTATGAAACAGGAAGTGGTATCGTTGACGTTGTTTGATCCAATGGGGAAGAGGTTCAACTGAAAGAGCAGTGTCGGACTAAGTGCCAGGTGTTCTGCCTCATCCAGGCCCAGTTGCGAATACTCCAGCTCGTAGTTCCTCTTCTGTCCTCCTTCTCCAGGAGTCGGATACTCTGGTCCAGTCCACGTCACCCAGGCGTCCGAGGGCTCGACAACCGTCACAATCGACGTAGTCGCTCAGAGTACAGGAGGCATGGCATGCGGGACAGATGTCGTGGACCTGCTTGTGCCAGCTGGCATTGTGAAAGTTCCAACCGGTCTTCTGAACCCAGAAGTTGCTGATTTCGCAGCCAATAACGGTATCCCAATATTCCTCGCGGCGAGGTCTGTTAGTGAGGCAGTGGTTGCATAGACGCAATTCAGCAGGCATCCAAGGCTTCAATTGGGTCATGAGCTCCGGGACATCAAAAACACGCCGGGGGAGAAACCCCGCATATTTTGGCGAGGTGGGCGAGAGGTATAGCTGAACATCTCGTGCCACCATGGCCAGCCGTTTGCAGGATAGTGAAAGCGCGATCTGAGACGGTGCGTGGGCTAGAGCATTGTATATCTCGAGAAGAATCTCATAGGGCATCATGAGGAGGACGGACTGGCCCTTGTACTGGGGGTGGACACTCTCCAGCATCTGCAGACGTCAGATCTCCCACCCACAAAACACCATGTGGACACCACAACTATACCTCCTCGGGAATGATGAATTTGCTCGAGAGTTTTCTCTCAAAGTCGCGGCTCCTTGCTCTGCATTTAAGTGGCTTCCGAGGCACGGTGAATGTCTCCTCCTTCAGCTTCAACCCAGCACCGACGGGAAAGCCGGTCCATAGCGCCATAGGAATAGGCTGCTAAGGGTGTAAAGGTGCTCGGAAGAAACAACACGCAAGTGTGGACGTTGTGAGGGCTTGTATGAAAAATGGACCACTAGTGAACGCCTCGTTTGACTGCCGGTGTGCCCTTCCGGTACAAGACCTCGACGGACAATGTCGGTGAAGACTTTCAGGAGATAAGCGACGAGTGGCAGCAGATAAGCTATTGGGTTATACCATGTGAGGTCTAGATCAAACACTAGTCCCGGCAGGCTCCGTTGATAAGTCTTGGCGTTGCTCTTCCGATGCTCAAATCTCAACGACGACTTTCCCATTTGTTTTGCCTTGCCAGATCTCCTTCAGTCCTTCAGCAGCCTCCGCCAAAGGCAGGACTTTGCCAATATGCGGCTTGATGCCAGAGGTGGTCACAAAATCCAATAGGTTGACGAATTCCTCCCGCGTTCCCGTATAGACCCCTACCAAGCTAATCTGGTTCACCATCAAATGCAACAAGTCGATCGAGATGTTGGGCGAGGCGCTGTCTGAATGTCTCCCACACGACACAATCGTCCCACCTGGCTTCACAGAGGCCAAAGAATGTGAAATTGTTGACGCTCCTGATGTGTCGAACGCGGCATCAACGAGATGTGGCAGTTTTGCACCAGGCTCGAAAGTACTCTCTGCACCAAGCGATCTGGCAAGGTCGCGTTTCGCTTTCGTCCGGCCTGTTGCCCATACACGCAAACCGGCGGCAGAGCCTAACTGAATGAGCGCTGTCGTCACCCCTGCAAATTTGCAATCTGTTAGTTACCATCTCACATGATATAACCGATGTAACTCCAGATTGTTCAGCTCGGTACTTACCACCGGATGACCCTTGCACCAGAATGGTTTGACCGGCTCTGATTTTTGCCTGGGTGAACAACATGCGATAAGCTGTCAACCAGGCAATGCCCATCACGCTTGCCGACTTCGCATCTAGTCCTTTAGGCCTAGGCACGGCATTTCTTCTGGGAATCATAGCGTACTCGGCAAGGGTTCCTTGGACGAGTTCGCCGAATACGTGTCTTTTTGGATCGAGTGTCTCATTCCCTTTCCAATCAGGATCACCCATGACTGGATAGACGGCAACCTCAGTTCCATCCTCGAGCAATCCGGCACCCTCGTTACCCAGAATCATTGGGTATCGGGTTTCATGCATCAGCATTCCCCGTAATGTGAAGATGTCGTGAAAGTTCAGACCCACTGCCTGCATCTTGACTCGGACCCATCCTTCCTTTGACTCTGGAAGATGCCTCTGACCAATTCGGACCGATGACAATGGATCCTGTGGGCTGGCCACTGACGCGTAGACCGCCCGCATTGTCGTTTTATCAGGATCTATATCGCCCATGTGGAGATGTATTATCTTATCACCCTTCACTGTGACGACAAGGAACAAATCGAATGGTTCGTGGATGCCGAACTCCTTGCCAAAATCGCCATCCATCATGATATGGGTTTGTGTCCTGCCATCATTTCGGACCGTTTGGTCCAGCACTTTGACTCGTGCCTGGTGACCTATAATTCCATGTTCGCACAAGGCTATAATAGCATCTCCAGTGAAACTCTTTCCGTCGTCGACAACCTCAGCATCCGGTGCAAAAGCATTCAACATGAGTTCGAGGTCTGCGGTGTTGATCCCCTCGAGAAAACGATCGATGGGGTTGCGAGGTGACGCCATTGTAAAAGGTGTTGAGTCAATGCAGCCATTTGGGACATTAGAGCTGGAGGGAGTCAGGTCAGTATATATCGTGTGGACAAGGCATTACAGCGATGCCTGTCCTCATTGGCGCTGTGACCATTTTAGGGATCGGGCAATGAGCTCCAGTCATAAGCCAATCGATCATCCAAGGTATATCACAAGCTGGCTGACAGCACGTGACCGTGAGCCATTTCGTCCGCATAAGCCAGGAGAAAGCCAGTGTTGATGATGAGCGCGGTGCACTGGCCGTGATTGATTATGCGACATGGCGTCATGCAGAGAGCGACCCTCGTCGCACAGCAGAATCCAGATACCCCCCCCCTTCAAAGTACTCGGCTGGCGTTGGGACATTCATCCAAAGCGACCCGGAAAGTCGAACTTCTGCTGGAGATTGTCTCTTTCAAGCCATGACAGAAGCTCATGGTAAGTTCGGTCATCATATGGAGGAAGTGGGCGCTCGCCATTTGCTTCGCTAAAATCAGATTGGTGTTGGCGACAAGACTCCGCATAGCTTGCCGGGCTGGTGTCACTGCTCGGAGAGAGAATGACTGAAGAGTTAGATGGTATACCGCGTATACGGCCGCGCGCGTTCCCACCTCGGCAGGCTGTTTTCGAAAGGTCGATCTTTTGTAGCCTAGCCATGAGCGAGTTGAAATCTGTCAGTACCCTGGCGCAATCGGCGGCATATTCTTTGTTACTGCTTTGGTCTACTTCCAAGGTGGAAATGACGAATCCGATGTCTTCATAGTCTCCTTCTGCCCTACTATAACCCAGAAGTTGATAGAGCTGTAACGCAAGAGCAGCATTGAATAGAAAATGGACGCCCGAAGCCGACAGCCTTGGAGGTCGTTGTAGGTTCAAGAGTCGATGCCATAGATGGACGTTTCTTCTCGCCGCATCTGCACACAGATCGAGCTCTGGCCTGTGTGATATCTCATGACCTGTTGTTCTACCGTTCAGGAGCGTGTCGGCTGTGACTCTCTTGACGTTGAGAAACAACAAAGGTCGGACGGTGAGGATGATGAGCTGCAATGTCAGCGGGATTTGCCCATGAGTGGTTTGAGCGCCTCACCTGATTGTGCGCCATGTGCAGTTCTCCAACAGCCCGGTCCCAAGTCAGGTTCTCCTCTGTGCCTACAACCGTGGCGGGAAGATTTTCCGACCAAGACCTCAACCACCTCAGGGACTTCTGAATGCAGAGCGTCGTCATGGGTGGTTCCTCACTCTGTCGTGCAACGTCATAGATATTTGAGACAATGTAGTTTGAGATTCTGGCAAGCTCGATATGGGCTCGAAGACCGTCCGGAGGAGGTAGGTCACTTGACTTTGTCAACCTATCGCGCAGAGAACTCTAGATGAATGTTGTGTACCTTGAACTTCGAGGCAGGTCCAATTTGATCGCCTCGTCAGAGATAAGGGCCGGCCTCCCCATCAAACAACTCAGCCATCTGCGACTTGTCAGTGAATCCGAAGTTCGCACATCATGCTCTGGGCTTACCGATCCAGGATATAGACGGTCCAAAATAGCCTTTTACCTTGCTCGTCGACCAACCAGGCACGATGAACTCCATGGACGATGAGAATATGCATTGCGATGCTGACATAGATATATGCAGCATCACGCCGGTTGCTGTTGAGCAGGTAGAATCCTAGAAGTGCCAGTACAGTTGCATCGTTAATGGTAGATTCGTCCAGAGGATTCCCCAATATGCTTTTTGCTCTCGCGAAGAACGCCTGTCCAAATCCGGTTTCCCAGGGCGGTGCGCATCTCGGGTTGAGTTGACAAGCAACAGCGAACAGAGCATTAGGAGCCGCTTCGATGGTTCTCACACCATCAACATAAGCTGGATATTCACCCAGGACAGCCTGGACATCGACCCAATAATAGATACCACCAGAAGCAAAAGTACCTTCACCATCCTGAGCCGAGTGCCGAAACTCCGACAGCATCGCCGCAGCTTCATCATTTGTCGCCGATATGAGAGGGTTGACCGTAGACGTTAGCAGAGGACGACTGTCGTGAGTTTGATATTTCCCGAGCGCCGAGATGAAAGCTGTCACATCAGGATTCGAGGTACTTGACCATGCATTTTCGAAGGCCCGTGGGAAAACCGTCGCCATGTACTCTCGCAAGTGATTGAGGAATGTGGCTCCTGAAGATTCGCCGAGATAGCGCACCGTGCCATCTGGGTCTTGAAGGATTCGTCCTTCTCGAAGGTGTTGGGTGTCTTCGGCAATATCCTGACTGAATGGTTTGGGAGGCCGGGGTGCCTCGGGCGTATCGTGCTTCGCTTGGGTATGCTGCATCAAGTTATCCCTCTCAGATTGCAAAGGGACTGCGTGTGCGAGTGCCTGTTCCAGCATCGCGCACCTAGCTTTGAGCGCATCATACTCGCGGCGTGGGATCGTGACTGTTTGCACCACCTCTGGATACAAACACTCACGCGACGATTTGCGGCATCTTTCGCAGGGTTGGCCTCCGGAGCACTTGGCACGTTTAATATTGCAATTATTGCATCTTTGAGTCAACGTGAAGAGAGTAAGTTTTCAAAGCATGCAAGCAATGCAAGGATAGGGAAGCCTCTCACGCTTGAACAACTCTTTTCCGTAGCTCCGGTGCAATTTTATGCCGCCGCGGGTTGACAGGTCGACGTTCCATATGACAGATTACCTGTGGAGGGGATGTTGTAGCACACAACTACCGAGTCCTTCAGACCAACACAGAGTTTCCCCAAAATCTGGGGAAGAGAAGACGACGAGGCTAGAGAAAAGGCGGAGTTGGCACAAGTCTATTCGGGGAAGGTCTACCGGCCCCTTTAATCTCCTCCCCTGCGCCGCTGACTCGTTCGTAGCCGGGAATAGTTTAAGTTTGCTTCGGGCAGAAAATAGTCGCTGCACACACGACGAGCCTTTGTGAAATAAAAAATGGCACAGTTTGACAGATAGTAGACGCCCGCTCGGAATTTGGGTAGTTACTCAATAGCGATGAAGCGGGCGCCAGATCAGACATGGCTAATGTCATATGCCTGCGACGAAGCAGTTCCATTCTAGTGCTCGGAGACCAGGAAACTCCCAACTTTCAACAGAACTGGAGCACGCAAAAAGCAAAGTGTAGTGTGCTCCTGCAGAATTGACAGTGAAGGCTTCCAATATGAGGTGTCGCAATCAAACCTACCCCCCGGCAAGACCTCACAGGCCGTAGATAAAGGTATACTTCTTGTCCGCATATCTCAGAGGTGTGGTCTTCTCGTCTTCGAACTCCTCGGGAGTCATGGCTGCCACTTTAGCCTGCCTTCGTCTGTTCACCGCTGCCAATGTGAAACGGTATGAAAGGTATCCGGCCAGCGCGACGGCGATGAATGCCAGTGTTATATAAAACGGCCTGTGGGAAAAGTTTAAGTCGTCGTGTTCTCTTTGTCAAAAGCAGCAGTAGTCCGCCATGGGGATTTGACTCACACCAGGTACTTTGGCGCATAGGATGCCCGGAAGATTTGTGCCCCGATGACCCCGGATAGATTTCCAAATCCATTGACGCCCAGGACGAGTGCTCTCTTCCCGGGTTCTAGAAACTCGTATTGGCCAAAAATGCTCAGATATTGGAGGGAAGGAGGGGAGGGGGGACTTGGACACACTTACCAGGAGTGTTGCCACTCAGCCAGGCCACGGTCAATGGTGCCGAGATATAACTGCCAAACAGCAAGATGCACAAGCCAGCATACTTGCCGCCGTGGCGCTGGACAGTCACCGTGATGATGAGCCCGACGAGGGTGATCAAGAGACCGACAAAGATGTGATAGCCGCGTTCTTTCCTAAATCACTAGTGTTGACAAAATGTTAGGCAAATTGAACCAGAGCAATGGCTTACCTGCGATCCGAACTGACGGCGAAAATGTACAACCCGACTGCTCCACAAAGATATGGCGGCACAGACATCTGCTTGAGTCAGGATCTTTCTTGCACACCCGGGGGGTAAATCCACTCACCAAGTTCGCCTCAATGGAGGAATATCCCAGTCCAGCGACAACAAGAGGGAGAAACACAGAGAATGCCTGCCCGGGGACGCTAGCTAGGATGTTGAAGAACAGCACATACCAAAGCTTCCAGTCCTTTGCCGTCTCAACCACATCGCGCCTCGTCAACCTCTCCTTCTCGACACCGCTGTCGCCGTAGGCATGTTGCGAATACATGGCGTTGTCCAGACGGATACGCTCCACCGCGTATGCTCGATCCTTGTCTTTGAGAAACCACGCACTTCCCGGTCCGAGGGGCATCCAAAACCATGCAACGATGGCAATGAGACATGTAGCGCCACCTTCGATGATGAAGAGGTATTGCCAGTTCTTGAGCGAGCCGGTCTTGATGTGGAAAATTCCGTACGCTTCCAATCGTGTCAACAACCTTTCTCACCTTGAACATAGCCGTGGGGTTGTTACTTACCAATGCAACCGGAGAAGGCACCAGCGACAGCATATTGTCCGTAGAAGAGTCCGAGGCGGACGGCGAGGTCGAAACGGGTATAGAATGTCGACAAGTAGAAAACACCTAAGTCGCGCGGGCAAAGTCAGTGTTGCGCAAGTAACGTGATCCGTTCTTCGCGGCTCGTTGAGATGAGGTCGGATGGGGAGGGAGGACTTGACACATACAGCAAGGATAAAATCCTGCCTCCTGCTTTAGCGTTAGCAGGAATTTCGTGGTTCGAGGAACAGTCTGTTCCAGCCTTCTCCAAACACCAGTTCTAAGAAGCGGAAGAAAGGCACTTACAAAAAGGCCAATGAGTAGTCGTGTCGCAATCAGCGTAGCTAGCAGCAGGGTTAATATTTCCTCGGCGCGCTAAGAGGTCGCTTTCATCAAACCTCGTCCCTTGATAAAAGCCTGGCAAATGGTGAGGATGCCCCAGCAAAACATAATGATCGGCACCCAGTTCTTCGCTCCCAGGTACCTTCCGACGGCGGCGGAGGGAGGTTGGAACAGCACAAACGTGATGAAGAACAAGCTGACTGCCAGGTTGAGGTCGTCTGGCTGAGCTCCAATGTCCTTGGTAAAGCCTGGAATGACGGCTTAGGAGGAGTTTTATATGACTAGCGGTGATCTGGACATACCTTGCGTTTCGGCATTTCCAACGTTGCCTCGATCTAATCCATTAAAAAGATATAATAGAGATAAAAATGGAAGAATTATTGTGTCGATCTTGTAGTTTAACGCTCGATTCAATGCTTTCTCTTCGTTTGTCACGGGGACGTGGCCAGCAGGCACATTTCCGCCGCTCCCTTGAGGCTCGGGCTCGACTGGAGACCAACCCGTCTCGACATGGTCCGACAGTTGTTTTTCAGACATTTGCAGAACCATTAATTCAACGAGAATTCGTAACTTGCGAATGTAATCAAACAAAGTCATACATGTCTCTCCAAGTGAGGCAAGTTGCCGAGCTTTTATACCATACCCATAGGCAAAGAGGGCGAACTCCGTGGGCGGGTACGGTAGCCGTATGATCTGCCGTCTCTTGGCTAATGTCGATCACAATATGGAGAACGCTAAGGTGAGGAGAGTAATGTAAGGATTGTAGGTGAATGGCAAAGTCCGATAGACAGCAAGTAGTCGCCCTCTCGGACATTAGGTCGTTACTCGATAGTGATGAGGCGGCCGTTAGATCAGAGATAGCTAATACTATCGATAGGGATCGAGGGACTGTTATACCTAATGATCGTTACCTTTATGTTAATAGTGAATGGCTCCTCATGGCTATTTCTCGTTAGACGGTGCCACTTATTTTTAACATTTTGATTGTGCGGGGAGTGTGTGGATTTGCCTCGAGTGGCGGGATGAGGAAGCCTAGTCGAGCAGCCTCAAATATGCGGGTAGAGTACCCGTGATGGCGCAAGTCGATGGACGGCATATCTCCCTGATGGGAATGGTTCAAGATGCTCCATTTCCGCAATGTCCCTTTCATAAATACCAAGGGTCTCGGCTGCTGGGGTGGGTATCAGGGTCGAACCGACTTAGTGACAGGGAGAGAGAGACATCGGACATCATGGTGTTTGACTTCAGAAATACCGAGAAGCGATCAAAGACCCTCGACATAGGTTTCAATGGTGTTTCAGTGTCGGCTGACTTTCGCGGGACGGTATTGATATAGTCTTGGTTAACAAGGACGAAAGCTGACATTGCTACTAGATTTTGCAAATAAGCGCTTTCCACCCCAAACATGGTATTGTTCTCGCCGAGCCCTACGGACAGTTCGATGGGTCCAGGTTCAGAGACACCCCGTACGTGCGAGAGTACCGAGCCCGAATGCTCAAGTCCATCAAGACGGGAACGCCAGGGTTTGGGTTGCGTTTCGATGTCGAGGCCCACGACACGAAGATAACGCTGGACGGGTTGGGACGAGCAACAATATCTTTCCGCACAGTTGAAGGACTTGCCATAACAACGTCTTTGCGTGTCAACGAGAATGGAGAAGTCATTCAATCTTCGGAGGTTTCGTCTTCTAGTGACTGTCCGATCCTTTTGAGATTCACCATGGACTTCAGCATCAGCGTGAACCGGGCATCAGTACGTATTGCGCACTATTTATGTCATCGTGGCTCGAACCCTCCAGGTCTTCCAAGGGTCTTGCGTACTTGAAGAAGCTTACCAATGCTAATACTGGAGCAGTATGGGCAACTTACCGAAGGTGGACCTATCCCCATGCCCAAGTCAGAAAACAAATTCAGTTTCACCGACTTTGGAAAGAGTTTCCTGGTTGTCAACTTCCCTCTTGATGCACAACTTCAAGGAAGTCTTGAAAGTGGTGGTCCAAGGGTCGACATGCATGGCGCTGTTCAAGAAACCACTTTTGTGAACTCGCCCGTAAAAGGAGCATATTCTCAGACTTTGGATATTCCACCACGAGGATCGAGGACGCTGACGGCAAAGTTCGCCTTGCAATCGGGAACAGGTTGTGGGAAATCTCGCAACGCGGAAACCTCGCCTGCCCTCGGATTGCCGTTGCTCTGGCGGGATCAAGAAACCACCAGCAGATTCATTGTTCGCCGAAATCTCGAGTACATTCTCGGTAATTGCACGGTCCCGCTGTCACCTTCCAAGCATGCCGTTTGCCTCCTCACAGATCATGTCGCTTTACCGCTCGGTTGGATGAGGGACAATTAGTGAGTATCAGCGAGTCCTGGTGGACGCTGCTAACATGGAAAAGTTGGCAGATTCAATTCTTGACCCAAGTATATCGGAACTTTGATAGATTATCAATTGGTAAGAACCGTGCCGCCTACTCTGAAGAGATCAGGGCCACGATAAAGGGACATCTGACTTGGATCTTTCGGCACGCACAACGACCTCACCACTTCTGGCATCGATCATATCTCACCACAGGCCGTCCCAAGGATGGGCCGGTCTTTCAGCTGGACCAACAATGCTATCCGCTCCTGGAGGTCTGCGACTTCTGGGAGATCTTTCCAGGAGAGCAGCCATTTGTGGAAGAAATTCTGGCGTCAGATGCCGTGTCTCAAGTCCTGGACCTCCTTGAGTCAAAGAGAGATCCTTTGACTGGACTCTTCCCGACAGACGAGACACCAGGTGATGACCTGGTAAAATATCCATTCCATTTCTCGAGTCACGTCTTGTTATGGCACACACTGTCTCGGCTTGCAAAAGTGATCACCCAGGTGACGGGCGCTCCGTTGGGGCAGCAACTCGCATGTCTTGCCGAAGATGTGCGTGACGCGACGTTGAAGCACTTTCTCGCCTCTGATCCGTTGCCAGACTCGCTGTCCTTCTCGTATCTGGTGGACGGATTTGGTCACCGAACGTTTTACCATGATGCCAACGACCTGCCAACGCTTTTTGCTCCCTTATGGGGTTTCACCAGGACCAGTAATGAGAAGCAGGCATGGCACAACACCATGGAATTCGCGTTCACGCCGGCGAATGATGGAGGATACTATGGGGACGGAGCTTTTGGAGGACTAGGGAGCGTTCACACACCCGGGCCGTGGACACTAGGATATTTCCAGCAGTGGAAGTATGCTCAGATGACAGGTGATAATCAGCAAGAAGCTGCCGCATGGGAAAAAATCCGTGGGGTCATGTTGTGGGATGGGACGTTTTCGGAAGCAGTAGACAGTCACTCGGGCGAGTGTACGAGCAAGGCATGGTTTAGTTGGCCAGGATCGATGATTGGGAGCGGCTTACTCCAACCGGGAGTTATAGAGAGGTACCTGTAGTGAATCTCTCTTCCGACTAATGACCAGCTCGGGGCGGCTGAGGAAAGCTGAGGGAGTAGCACGGGCACACATGGAAATAGGTGGCTTGGTGGCCGACGCTTTGCATCCCAGGTACTGCCCGAGTCGAATTGGCTGACACGGTCACTGAAGGCTGTAGAATGGGGTAGGTAGTCCTGTCTGCCTCGGCGGAATGAAAGACGTGTCTATATTGTAAGACGGGGGGGGGTTTCCTTGATTCTCCCCTCTCATATGTTCTGGGTTGATTGATAAGGATAGGGGTGCCGTCAGGTCTAACAATGGTCACCTTTGAGTTATCAGTGAATCGCTCCTGATCGCTATTTCTAGTCAGACTGTGATTGACATCGGCTCGCTCCCTACTGCTAGTGTTTTTCTCTCACCGAGTACTCGGTACATATATGCGAAGTACGTGCGCATATATGTACATGATAATCTACACCTGCATCGGTAGATCAAAGTATAAACGAAACAGCTTACAGGCATCGAACGTTGCCGTCTGTCATTTTTCATACAGATGATCTTGATTCTTGACACCAAACTTATACCAATTCCTATTCGTATCTACCGTTGTTACTTTGCAGTATGTATATGCCACAAGCCACTCTATGTACCTCGATAGTCTCTGGCGCCAGGAGAGAATAAGGTTATTCTCCAACCCTCTTAATACTCGGTACAGTCAGACGGTCCATATGCACTGCACGCTATTATGTACTCTGGTACTTTATCGCAAACTTTCAACCAAGGCCTCGGTACGTCCGGGCTCGGTGGCGAGCGGGAGAGTATATGAACATTAGGTAGTCGGATTCTCGGCCGTCCATTTGCCATGTTCACTCGTTCTCGTGGGTGAGGGACGAGTATCGAAAGTCGTTGCGAGTTGAGATTCATTAACTCCCAACGTCTGTCGTTGTTACTTGTGTCTACGGAAGTAGGTAGCTAGGTTTGGGCACGACTTGCCGCCACTCTACACAAAGAACCGAGCACGACCCAAAAAAAATATGCCGGCCAAAGAAATGCCAAAGACAATGCTGGCGTGGCAGAAGCACTTCGGCAGCACCGAGCCGGTCTGTTGTTGCCCGTTCTTTTCTTCTTCTTCGTCTCTGCCCCTCACATTGTCTATTCATGTGGACTCTAGGAGGACCTATCCCGAGTTTTCTTGTTCAAGTCTGCTCCAGCTGTCAGACCCATGCACATACACAGTACTGACAAGATCGAGAGACGAAATAGATCCGTGTCGAGGTGCCTGTGCCTGCGCCTGCTGAGGATGGCCTCCTGGTCAGGATCCATGCTGCGGGAGGTGAGAATGGGTCCGACTGTTGTTTTCATCAAGATCTCTATCAATATCGACGGATGATATAAGAGGGGCTTTGAGACATAGAGTGGATGCGATAGCTGGCTGACGCATGTGCTTCCACAGTCTGCCACAGCGACTTCGCATTGCTGAACATGGCCACCAAGCCGGCTCATTATCTTGACAAGTATACATTGGTAAGGGTGCAAGATATGTCTCCTCCCTTGTTCCTACAGCACCAGCATTCCCAGCGAACCTTTTTGTAAATTCCCGTCTTTGCCCCCCCTTTTTGTTGTCTCTCACCCACTCGGATGGCTGAGTCTAGATTTCCTCCCAACAAAAAGGGCCACGAAGGTTGCGGCGAGGTCGTATCCGTGGGAGCAAAAGTCACAAAATTCAAACCCGGCGAGATGGTGTCCATCTTGTCCGTGCCCGGTTGCGGCAAAGCGACCTGTCGAGAATGTTCTGGCGGAGTCCCCCAGATCTGCACCGGTGGACAAAACTACGGAATCGGCCACGACGGCTCCTTTGCCCCGTACGTCGCCATCCAAGAGCGCGCCGCCATCAAGCTCCCCTCGAGCGTCGGTGCGGCTGCCGGGGCCGTGGCCACCGATGCGTGCATGACGGCCTATCAGGCCATCGCGCGGAGGGCCAAGGTCAAGGAAGGTGACACGGTCTTGCTGTTCGGGCTCGGCGGGCTGGGCTTCAACGCACTGCAGATGATTGTGAACATTGGCGCAAGGGTCATCGTCGTGGACAAGAGACGGGAGGTGTTGGACGCAGCGGTGAAATTCGGGGTGAAGAGTGAAGAC